CAGAAGTATCTTGGCACCTGGAGTCTTCGTTCGTGTCCTTCTCTGTACCCACTTCACCTCAGGACATGCTGGAGAGGGAGAAACACAGGCTAAGTTATTTTCTTTAAAGAAAGTGGAAAATGCTGTTCTATGTGCATGTGATCCAAAAGAATGATCTAATCTGGCTTTGGTGAACTTTGAGCACCTGCCCCTCAAAAGGCACACCTTCCAAGTGTTACTCTGAAAGGGGCTTCCAGGGACTTGTGCCTTCAAGTAGACCAGAGGTAGGTTTCAACATCTGTCCATCCACCCACTCACCCACCCATCCATCCATCCACCCACCCACCGACCCACCCGTCCATCCATCCATCCTTGTCCATCCATCCATCCATCCACCCACCCATCCAACCATCCATCCATCCATTCACCTATCCATCCATTCATCCATCTACACTTCTGTCCATTCAATCATTCATCTATCCAGCCATCCACACATCCGCTCACCTTATCCCATTCCCTCCCTCCTTCCTTCACTCGTTACAATTCCTTCAATTTTAAACATGTTTATTTCCTCTTCTCTATCTGAGAATCTCTGGGAGAAAGGAGAGGGTCTAATTCTGCTGTTTGATGCAGCTGTTTGCTCCTGGTGGATGATTTCCTTGTGTGTTTTGTGTTTGTGGATGTGAATTTAGCTCTAGAAAGACATTGAGAACTTGTTTCTACTCAGTGCCCGCAGGGTCATCCTGGTTGAACACCATTGTTTTGATGCTTTTTCTCATTTTGGGGTTTCCTGGTTCACCTTGGTAGCATGAAGACATGAAGTCAGGCCATGGTTACAGATTTGTAGTGGAGTGTGCAGTAAATAGAAGGTCAGTGAAAGTGAGGGAAACCCTCCACAAGATGGATTGATACAATAGCTGTAACAATGGACTCAAACGTACCAACGATCACGAAGACGGCACAGGAATGGACAACCTTTCGTTCTGTTATATATAAGGCTGCCATGAGTTGGAGCTGACTCTATGGCAACTAGAAACAACACCAAGTACAGTAAAGGATAAAGCCTACACCTTCCAAAAAAAAGGTTTGCCCCTTGCCTGGATCCTGGGAGGTAGTCTCCAAGCCCTCTGAATATCCTGCCTGAGAAGAATGTCTTTGTTTACCTAGGGGCATTGGACCACACCAGATGGTCTATGCTAACCATGTGATTTGTGTGGAAGCCTTGGGCTATGTGGATCAGCTTGACCTCTGGAGGGGCTGGAGACTAAGGCCATGCAGCTGGTGAGCGATACATGACAGACCTCCAATAAAAGCCCTGGACACCAAGGCTTAGGGGAGCTTCCATGGTTGGCAATACTTCAGTGTGTTGTCACATATCATTGCTGGAAGAAATAGGTGCTCTTTGTACAACTCCACTGGGTGAGGACATCTGGAAGCTCATGCCTGGTCTTTGCTCTGCCTTACGTGCCTTTTGCATTGTTGATTTTGATTTGTATCCTTTTGCTGTAATAAACTGCAACTGTGAGTATAATGAGTCTTTGCTGAGTCTTTCTAGTTCTGTGAGTCTTTGTAGTCAATCACTAAACTTGAGGGTGGTCTTGGGGTGGATTTTCTGGCACTTGGAGCCAGGGTAAGACACTGAGACAGGCTGTGGGCAGATGGTCCACCCTGTCAATGAGGCATAACCCAGCTTTGGGCGGCCTGGCTTAGTGTGGGCACTGTGGTCAGGGCTGCCATGGCCCCTGGCTCTGGGGTCTCATTCACATGCTGGTCCATGTAAATGGTGCTCCCAGGAGTTGGGCAGGGACATGTTGGTGTCACTGTAACCATGCCTCCCTGATTCCCTGGTGTAGCCAACCTCCCCCCATAAATCACAGGGCATGTCTCCTGGGGTGGGCTCCACTTAGAATGTTTCCAGAAAGGCACCAACCACATGGCTTTAAACCCACCTTGTTTCCTGATCGTCTGTGACCGGAGCTGACCTGTGGGAGATGAAAGGAGTGTGAATTGCTTGCCAATTTGTCAGAGCCTCAGCATTTTCTACATGTTGGTTGAGACTACAAGCCTCATGAGGGCCAGTACAGCTTCATCTTTTTCTGGTACAAAGCAAGTGTCAGCATAAGTCAGCTGCGTAACAAATGGGCCAGGACAGCCATTGCGAGGAGACCAGTGAGGCCCTTTACTGAAGCAAAATGAACCCACTAATGCTGTTCTGGACTCCCTGGGGGGTGCAAACAGTGAATGCACTTGGCTGCTAACTGAAAGGTTGGTGGTTCGAGTTCACCCAGAGGCACCTTGGAAAAAAGTCCTGGTGATCTACTTCTGAAAACTCAGCCATTGAAAACCCTTCAGAGCACAATTTGACTCTGATACACATCAGGTTGCCATGAGTTGGCATTGACTCCACGGCAATTGTGGGCTTGCTTTTATTTTATTTTAAAAGAGACAGCAAAAAGATCAGTGGTGGCTGGGGGTTCAGGGGGAAAAGGGAGGGATGAATAGGGGGGCACAGGGCATTTACAGGGCAGTGAAACTATTCTGTACGATAATGTAATGGGGAACACATGACATTATGCGTTCATCAAAACCCACAGGACTGTATAACACAAAGCGTGAACCCGAATGTGAATTACGGACTTTAGTTGGCAATAATGTATCCGTATCGCTTCATCAGTTGTCACAAACGTAGCACATAAATGCACGAAGTCAATACTGGGAGAAACTGTGTGGGGGGGTAAGGGGACATACGGGAACTCAGTGTACTTTCTACACAGTTTTTCTGTAAACCTAAAACTGCTCTCAAAGATATTAAAGTCTACTGTTTTCAAAGGGGGAAAATTGAGATGTTCTGGCTGGAGGTGGAGGGCTGGGGGAGGGCAGCGGCCATTCCGCTGGGGGACCACGCCGGGGTCCCTCCTGCCCCAACACCCTGGGTTTGGCTCCTGCCTCCTGTGCAATGCCGTGAGCATTTGTGCAACATTTCGAGGACACCCCCTTCTGGGCAAAGGCCCTTGAGCCAGCTCCACCCTGCAATGCCTCCCGGAGAAGCCCCCCTGGACAGGGCTAGGGTGGCTGGATTCAGCCTAACTCACTCACGTATGTGGTGTAAAAATAAAAATGTATGCCCTCCAGACTTGCTGGAGTCTAACAACTGAGAGATCAAAACCACCTTAACTCTTAAGGAAAGAACTTGTTCATAAATAACTAACAAGTAGCCCTAGTGGCGAAATGGTTAAGCGCTCGGCTGCCTACCATCCACCCAGTGGCTCCACGGGAGAAAGACCTGGCAATCTCCTCCTGTAAAGATGACAGCCTAGGAAACCTTATGGGGCAGTTCTACTCTGTCTTGTGGGGTCGCTGTAAGTCAGAATCGATTCGATGGCACCTATGACACCAACGAACCTTAATGAAGTCTTTAACTTCCTTGTGCTTGCTCTGTTGTTGTTGTTAGGTGCCATGGAGTCGGTTCTGACTCACAGCCACCCCGTGTACAACAGAACGAAACACTGCCCCGTCCTGCGCCATCCTCACAATCGTTGTTTTGCTTGAGCCCATTGTTGCAGCCACTGTGTCAATCCATCTCATTGAG